GATATCATCTGCAACTGGAAAAAAGTACCTCTCACAACTAAACATATAGCACTTCGGCAGAACGTCTCATTTAATGCTGTATATACCTCTAGGGTTTTTAAAATATTGTGTCGGAATGGATATCATCTGCAAAATTTCTGGGGAAAAAACTGCATAACACCTACAGCAGCGTTTCTGCTCTGCAGAAGAGGTTTGGTGTTCCTCAGTAGGAGTCTGTGGTCAGGGTCCATCATGTAAGGTTTCTTGGGAGGAGTCTTCTCCTTCTCCTCATCCTCTTCCTCCTCCTCACTGTCCTTCTCATCCTCATCACCGTAGAAGTTCTTATCATCATCAGCCACCACGTCCTAGGGAGACATGACATCGTTAAATCAACTGTAATATTCAGCTCAAACTTCCAATACAGACACAGTTAAGATATTTCTTCCCAGGTAAAAATCTATTCCTGTTGGTCAGGATTCAGGAAAAGTGTGGAAGCTCATCTGGTCAGCATGCTGATAATGACCACCTGTTGGTTAGGGTCTACTTAACATGTTGATGACTGGGTACCTGTTGGCTAGGGTCTACTTAACATGTTGATGACTGGGTACCTGTTGGCTAGGGTCTACTTAACATGATGATGACTGGGTACCTGTTGGTTAGGGTCTACTTAACATGTTGATGACTGGGTACCTGTTGGTTAGGGTCTAGTTAACATGTTAATGCCTAGTTACCTGTTGGTTAGGATCCAGTATCTGGCATGTTGATGATGACCACTGGTTAAGGTTTAGTTAATAAGTTAATGACTGGTTACCTGTTGGTTAGGGTCCAGGAACTGCGTGCGAGCATATCTGGTCAGCATGTTGATGATGACCACCTGTCCCCACTCCTCCACGTCCACCAGGAGGTTGCACAGTTTGCGGTAGTTCTTGTGAATGAGGTCGACCCGGTCTGGACACAACTCCTCAAACGCCATCACTGCACTGCCCACTACAAGCTGTGGAGGGGAGATAAATCATGGACATTACACCAGACGTTCTGTTAGAGTACCAAGGAAAGCCACCAGTGGGTCCAAAATCTAATCATTCTTTCAATAGGTGAAGACCTACTGACCAACCAAAGTTCATGAGCAGTTATAGCTGCTTGAATTGTGCTTAACCCACATACACAAATACTTTAACCTTCTACGTGAAGGCAATAATCTTAACTTCTCAAATGTGTATTCATCATTTTATGTATAGGTTTCAATACAAAAGATCAACTCTGGCATCTCCCCAAGTTGCACAACTTGACAGAAAAAGGACTGGAGCACAGACTGGTATATAAATAACGTCCTTACCGTTGTTTTGTCTGCCAGGAGCTTCTCGATGACCTGAATCAGCTGATCCTTCTGCTCAGGGTCAAGGCTGAGATGGGAGAAAACACTGTCATGTGAACTTTGACCTTCCGATATGAGAACAATAGGCAATCCCTGAACACAGGGTACATGTATATCTGGGGATACAATGTAGCTACACATTCTGTAGTTCAGGACAGTTCAATATTTTTTTGGCAGACCTGCACTGGTACAGGTAAAATTGAAAATCACCTGCACCACTTAGAATTTAAGAAGTATTGATCGTACTAAAAACTGTTCAGAAACCATTATTTCATCTATTCTTTCATACTTTATAGGTGGTTACAGATAAAATAAAATCTACTCAGTACATGGACTGTTACCACTTATTTACTACGCATAAAAGAAATAATGGCAATGGTTTTTAGTATTGTCTATACTTCATAAAAATTTTCAATGTTGCCTGTGCCTATGCAGAAAAAAGGATTTTGAGCAGTGATTTGTCAAACTCAAAGCACTTCCCAGACAGGGCACAGGCTGTTACAAGTCACAGACAAAATTGACACATAGTTCACTTCAAAGGATCCAGAAAGGTTAGAGTGCTCGTTATAGGTGGCTAATTACTCAGAACTCTTCATGTGCAGCTGGAGCCCGGCTTTCAAGTGCTTAACCTGTGTGAGCCTCTTTCGAAATATACACATACAATGCAATTTTAGGGCAGCAAAATAAAAAATATTCTGGATAAGTAAATCTGTCCGATACTGACATTTACTGCCATTCCCTAGCACATTTAGATATAGATATAGATTTCTGCCATCACTTCATACCTGAAGCATTTGAAATAGCCCCAAAACAATCTACTTGAGGAGTACCTTTATTTTTTAGTACCAATCAATAGCTAGAACCGGCCTATGATCCTATCAAGGTGTGAGCATACTCCTACTCCACTTGGTGACAACAAGTTCAGCTCTACAATAGTCCTAGGAAAAAACTAATCCTATCTCCTCTCCTGACCTATAGAGCTTGGGGATGGCGTGCGCGGCGGTTTTCCTGACATAGGGCGACATGTCGACCACGGAGTCCTTCAGTGCCAGCATCATGATGGGGACGATGACGGGCACACGGATGCTGGACAGCACACGCAGGGCGCTCGCTCGGATCAGCTGGTTAGGGTCCTGATGGTACCAACAGAAATGTAAAAACAAACAAATTAAATGCTTCAATTGGACAAAATGCTGACATCAACTTTGGGTGTTTTGAGCATCACCCTGCTTCTAACAGGCATAACCACTATACTAAAAATAATCAACAAAGGCAAAAATTCTATAAGAATAGAGTGTGTTGTACAGTGTGATGTGCACCATATTCTACAATGTGATATGTATTCTATTGTGTGATATGTATTATAAAATGTGATATGTACATGTATTCTACAATGATTGTGATATATGTGTGCTACAATATGAAGTGTATTCTACAGTGTGATGTGTGTTCTACATTGTGACTAAAATGTGACTTGTATTCTTCTAAGTGATGTGTATTCTACAGTGTGACGTGTATTCTACAGTGGGACATGTATTCTACAGTGTGATAATTGATATGTATTCTACTGTGTGATGTGTATTCTATAAAGTAAAGTGTATTCTACTATGTGACGTGTATTCTACAGTGTGATGTGTGTTCTACAGTGACGTGTATTCTACAGTGGGACATGTATTCTACAGTGGGACATGTATTCTACAGTGTGATATGTACATGTATTCTATGGTGTGATGTGTATTCTATAATGTAAAGTGTATTCTACTATGTGATGTGTATTCTACTGTGTGATGTGTGTTTTATTTTACAATGTGATGTGTATTTTACAATGATTGTGATCTGTGTGTTCTACACTGCGAAGTATATTCTACAATGGTTCTGGTGTATGTTCTATATGTGCTGACCTTGAGTGCCCTCTGGAAGGTAGCAATGGATAACAGTGCCAGGTCCTGCTGCTCCTCAGCATACCTCACCAGGTACACATACACCAGCTTCTTCACCTGGAAAACAGCATTCACAACTTCTTATATCAGGTGTATATGTACATGTGTGAAACGTCCTTGATCATACTTCTTCAGCCAAGTAGACATACTTTTTCACCTGGCTGTAAAACAATACATAGCTTCAGTAACTTACTATATGTGAAAATGAATACCTAGCTTCAGTTAGGGAGATCCTCAATAATCAGTCTCACCATTCATATGCTACACTCCAAACCTCCACTGATCAATGTTATCAAAATATCAATCAATCCATCACTCAATTACTCCATTCATAGGTAGATACACACAATGAACAGCTGCTCCAACCTCACTCCAGTGAGTATACAAATTTGTGCATATATTGAATTTTCTGGATAATTAAACATTGCTTAACCTTCAATCAAAAAGAGAACTAAACAATTACATTACCCCATCTGCTCTTTGGCATAGACTCAATGATTTACACACAGGTAAAACTCAGTGGTATGAAACTGCTCGCATCAGAAATGTCAAGTTTTTGCCCGCGTGTAAATCAGGTTATAGTTCCTACACACACCCTACCCATCATCCAAATCACTTTACTTATCAACAATATTGTGACTAACTAATAGGGTTACAAATGCAGGTTGACCCCTACACCTATCACTATCATTGGTTAAAGAAAAGGCTAAGGCTGTCCTAAGGGTCATTGAGTACATGTAGCTCTCCACTGTGTCTAGAGAATGGTATTGGAAGGTGGAGCCCATCCCTCTCCTTCCACTAAGTCTTCCTTTTAGGGCAGAGATACCACTCTTACATTTGGCAATCCAAGGCTAAAGTAAATACAGTCTGTACACTGAAACAAATAACTGCAACAAAATTTTCAACAAAAAGAACTACTTGTGACTAAACTTGTGTTCCCATTTTGGGGCCTTCACTGTGCAATGCAATTGTATTGTCAACTCTACTAAAAGTAGCACACATACATTCTCCCATATTTCTGAATCTCCTTGGTTCATCCATAACAAATTGCGTCAGCCTGTACCAAATCCAGGGTTCTGAAACTTGAAAAGGAATAGAATCACCCTCCAACTTCGTCTAAGCTACACATTTATAACGTACTTACAGTCTGAGCAATTTTACCCTGACAAATTTATGTCTGCTCTGGCATAAAAAGAGATGTTCCCTGTGATGCAGCCTGGCTTACCTCCAATAAGTAGTTTCTACTAGAAGACATCAGGACGTGCCAAATCATGGATTTTGAAAGCTACTGCTAGCTATGCATTTTAATGAACCTACTGTCTGCAAAAAACCTTCAACTTGGCAAAATTCTTGCTTTGGCAAGGAAATGGAAGTCATGCGCCAAGGGTAGCAAGTTGCCTGGAGGTTTCTGGCAAGATTTATGGAGGCACACGTGAGGGGTTGTTAGCCCTTTACTCAATGTGAATATCTGAAGGTGCTTTTTTAACATGGCCAGAGCAAACTTTTTTCAACATACATGATAACGATGATGATGGAGCATCTGCATGGGGGATACCGGCAATACTTCACCGTAAATTCAGGATGACCTACAAAACTTGGTGGTAAATTCAGGCAGGCTACCAACACTTAAAGCTGTACATTGTAATGATTATATTAGGCATTGGGAAAAACTCCATTGAGATAATCTTTTGTATTCATGTGGTTTCTGGCAGAACTAGTCTGTGGGCCTTGGATGCTCCGTTGTGATTTTTTGGGCAATCTGGCATTTGACAATCCATGTGAAGGAATTTCAATAATGCTTATGATGAATTTGGGATAATAAATAATGTGCTATGTGCAATGCTTAATGTTGAATATAAGTAGCCAGGTATGATTTACAGTGAAGTAAAATGGTTTGCTAATGCTACGCCTCATGGAAAAAGGCATGCAGACCCTCATGATCAGACCTTTTATTTGCTTGGTCATGATGTGATCATTTGTTTGCTTGAGGCTCTATCAATCTCAAACCAGGGGAACAAAAGGCTTAAAGCATCCTCTCTAAAAGTTTGGGGCCCCACTATGAACCGCGGTCAGGATCTCCCTATCCATCATGACTTCATGACTGGCAGCCTTTCCACTCAACAGCCTTTCTATACTATAGACTGATACCATCTCCTCTCCAGGCAACCTGACTTTTCCACAGCAATGAATGAGGACAGGAAAGCTAACAAGTTCTCCTGGCTTGTCACCGGGCACTAATTCAATATTCCACCGACGGCTGCTCTTGACCTTCCAGACAGTTTGTCCATTCTGCCTGCTCGCCTTGAATGATGGATGGATGGACCTTTTGGCTCCTTCAGCCTGTGATCCATTTCACCGGCTCTGCGTACAAGGCAGCTCTTTGAAGCCGCATAAATGTCAAGACAGGATTTACGAGACTGTGATCTGCAATTTGAAAGGAAGTTGCCAGGGGGGCTTGGAGTTAGAATTAATGCTGAATGCCATCTAAGGCTTACCTACAAAAGTGAAATCATTTTCGAGTCTGTGACATTGTATTTTTTGGTTTCTACAAACAAAAGTCAGGATTTAGCAGATTGTGAGCTGCAGTTTTTAAGGAAGCTGCCAAGGGACCTTAAACATAGGCTTAACTACAAGTACAGATGAAACACTGTTTCAAATATGTAATTCTTCAGATATCTTCTTTTCACAAAGAAAATGGTTAAACAGTTCAAATTCATAAGTCACAGGATGTTTGACATGAAGCTAACTTAAAAATGTTACCAGCAATGGTATAACTAGAGTTTTTTTAATCATACATGAGCAATAATGTGCCTGTATGTCATATCTCTGTGGATCTCAAATGTTTCTGAATAAACCATTTGCTCCAGACGGCCACGGCTGGAGGCAAAATTGTTACTTTGGTACATTATACCTTCACTGACATTGCAAGGTCAACGGACCGTCAACTTACACTATACAGCACCCAGGAGAAAATTACATCCCTTGTAAAGCATCACATCTCTTGCAGCTGATGGTGTCAGGAATAGAACAAAGATTGCTCTAGCAATTACCACGGCTGTCTTGGGCTTCCAAGATATTGGGAGGTCCATACAAAAGAGAAAAATATATTCACCGCATACTTGAAAGGCTATCCAAATTTCTTTTGAAACAGCTGGAACTCAAAAAGTAATGACATCAGTACTACAGCATATCTTAATAAAACATATACGTAGTTAATTTACTGAAATATATTTTTACTAATTCTATCTATCTCTTTACTTTAGATTCTCTTTATTATGATTTCTTAGTATGATCCA